TATTATACATTATATTAATATTATATATAAAGTACTATTAATATATATATCTAATTTATGATATATAATTTCACACGCACATTATATGACAAATTAAAAACATTTCACTGTAATATCAAACGATATTCACTCCAGATACTCCAAAAACGATATAAAACCTTGGCAATGATAATTACGAAAATGAACTCAGTCGATAATTGAAAATTCTGCTTGTAACTTAAACAGCATAATAACTCAGTTACATGTACAACCATGGAAAACAAACATAGCGAAGAGAATACATCGTAAACAGCGCATAGTCATTTCGGTTAAACGATTTTAAGTGCATAAATCTTGCAAGGACGTGCAACAGTCAATCACCGATACGTACACGCGTGTACGTACTCGATTGTACACTTAAATGCACGGATTTACGGGTGTTGAACACCAAACACCGGAAATCCTTGAGTCGTGTTGACGCGTGCATCGAGATGACTGCACTAAATACATGCATAATTGTATTGTTACGCGACCCATGTGAGTTACGAGCTGTTTAATATGTATGCTTTGTACCACGTTAAGTCATCTCGCGCGAATTCTCATTAATCTCCACGCTGCGCTCGAATTACGTGATTCAATATCGTGATTTCAGATAAAATGCAGGTGACATTCTCTGCGTGTTAATTTGAAGTTAAACACGTAGCTATATTTACCAAAACAAATTTTTCTACAACAGTTGCTCGTTCTATGATACATATGTGCATGAGTTTACAAATCACTATAGTCAAATCTCGATAACTCGAGCGAATGTGAACTAATGTTGAAATGTCTACGTTAATTAGTAAATTATTTCGTTGATTCGATAAAATTTCTACGACACGTTCTGCTCTGTACTAAAAAGGAATGAGCAATGGGATTAGGAACTATACTAATCTCGCATTACAGCCTTCTACGTTAATTATTACACATTTTTGTCACTGTAAAGTAATACTGCGGTCGTTAAGCCGTACCATTGACAGTCAAGGTCATTCAGAGGTCATAGATAGTTGTCAAAGTCGCGTAAATAACAGTAAAGGTCGTATGATTGTCGAAATCATGCCATTAGCAGTGAAGGTCAGCTCAAAGACAGGGAAAATTGTCAAAATATCATGAATAGTCATCCAAAGGTCACAAATGGTCATTTAGGTCATGTCATTGGCAGACGAGGTCATTTGAGGGACATAGAAAGTCATCAAGGCTGTGTTATTGACAGTCAAGGTCGTTTAAAAGTTACATATAATCATCTTGTTTATATTCCTGACGAACAAGATCGTTTGAAAGCTATGGAAGATCCCTGAGGTCATGTTATTGGCAACCAAGATCATTTGAAGATCAAGAGGTTCGTTGAGCTCGTGTCAATGATGTTCAAGGTTATCTGAATGCCAAATTCGGATCATTAATATCGCAATTTTTTGTTGACAGATATTAATTGATTACGTGATTCAATATCGTGATTTCAGATAAAATGCAGGTGACATTCTCTGCGTGTTAATTTGAAGTTAAACACGTAGCTATATTTACCAAAACAAATTTTTCTACAACAGTTGCTCGTTCTATGATACATATGTGCATGAGTTTACAAATCACTATAGTCAAATCTCGATAACTCGAGCGAATGTGAACTAATGTTGAAATGTCTACGTTAATTAGTAAATTATTTCGTTGATTCGATAAAATTTCTACGACACGTTCTGCTCTGTACTAAAAAGGAATGAGCAATGGGATTAGGAACTATACTAATCTCGCATTACAGCCTTCTACGTTAATTATTACACATTTTTGTCACTGTAAAGTAATACTGCGGTCGTTAAGCCGTACCATTGACAGTCAAGGTCATTCAGAGGTCATAGATAGTTGTCAAAGTCGCGTAAATAACAGTAAAGGTCGTATGATTGTCGAAATCATGCCATTAGCAGTGAAGGTCAGCTCAAAGACAGGGAAAATTGTCAAAATATCATGAATAGTCATCCAAAGGTCACAAATGGTCATTTAGGTCATGTCATTGGCAGACGAGGTCATTTGAGGGACATAGAAAGTCATCAAGGCTGTGTTATTGACAGTCAAGGTCGTTTAAAAGTTACATATAATCATCTTGTTTATATTCCTGACGAACAAGATCGTTTGAAAGCTATGGAAGATCCCTGAGGTCATGTTATTGGCAACCAAGATCATTTGAAGATCAAGAGGTTCGTTGAGCTCGTGTCAATGATGTTCAAGGTTATCTGAATGTCAAATTCGGATCATTAATATCGCAATTTTTTGTTGACAGATATTAATTGGCTGAAACTATAGTAAGTACATACTGGATGATTGTATTACTTATGAAGTCAAAGGACTTAAGGACAATAACAGTGAATATAAAACAGAAACTATAGTAAATATAACATACATAGTAACTATGGTGAGTAGTATACATATATAATAAAACTGTAGTAAATATAGTATAAAAATTATATAAATAGGTACAACAAAAATTTCTAACAAAATTTTTAAATTACCAATTAGCGATATAGTTAAAAATTATAGTAAATCTTAATTTAGAATTCTTGGTGACTTTTTTCTGAAATGAAACTGATATTATATTAAAAATTTTGTTAGAAATTTTTATTATACTTATATATGTATAAGTAAGTATATGTAGTAAAATTATAGTTAATATAGTACATTTATAATAAGAATATGCAGTAAAACTGTAGTAAATATAGTATAAAATTTATATAAATAGATACAACAAAAATTTCTAACAAAATTTTTAAATTACCAATTAGCGATATAGTTAAAAATTATAGTAAATCTTAATTTATAATTCTTGGTGACTTTTTTCTGAAATGAAACTGATATTGTATTAAAAATTTTTTTAGAAATTTCTATTATACTTATATATGTAAATAATTTTTATACCATGTTTACTACAGTTTTGCTACATATTCTTACTATAAATAATTATAACAAAAATTTCTAACAAATTTTTTGAATTATCAATTCAGTGACACAGTTAAAAATTATAGTAACTCATAATTTAAAATTCGTCATGATCTTTTATCCGAAGTGAAACCGATATTTTATTAACAAACATTTGTAATAATTTTGAACAGTTTTTAATGCACTGTACATTATCACGGAAACTATAAATATTTATCATTTCTTTCGTTTTCGTTTATCGTACTAATTAGAAGTTATGATTGCGAGGACAGTCATGAGAACACGTGTTTAATGTTATAGCACTGCGTCTGAGTATTCGAAGAGTACGTGAGGGATAGATTCTTCTAATCGAAAAAATACACACGCATGAGTGTGTACGTGCATGCGTGTATGTACGCAAGGGGAGCCGGATATGATAAGGAGTTATCATTCGGGGGCACGAACGACGAGCCCACACAACTGTTCAGTCTTCTTTATCACCCCTTAGCTCAATACGTGTCACAAACAGCGATACACATGAGAAAGTTCGAATGCACGATGGGAAATAAAATAATACGTGAATTCGATGCATAGTTCCTACTATATTACTATGTACCCAGCACTATGTCCACGTGGTGTATCTTTCATATATTTCGTCCTGTCATGGATATTTGATTTTTTGATTTTCTAATCGGTATAATTTTTATTAATATATTTTTAATACACTTTTAAAATGCTTCTTATTATGTATGTGTATATATATAATTTTTTTTAATATACTTTTAATATACCTTTTAAAATTTTTTTTTAACATACTTCTTTTAATATATTCCGAATATATTTTCTTTAATTATATTCTTAACACTTTGCACTCGAAGATTTTTTCGCTATGAAGAAATAGCAATTCGAAGATTCTCTTATGTTTCTCAGTGATACTTCTTATGCTAAACATGAAAAAATTATGCGTTTGCGTCAAAGATGAATGAGTAGAATTATTTTATTTTAAAATTCTGCGTTTAATTATTTTTGATATTGTCACTTATTCGTTGTTCAAATTATGACATTAAAACGAATGGTGATTGAGAGTCACCTCTCGAGTGCAAAGGGTAAATATATGTGAGTTATACTTCGAGTATAATTTTAAATTAAATTTTGTTAAATTAATTTAACGCGAAAGTTATGATATGTATAATAGGGAATAGGTTTCGTTGATCATAGAACTAAATTTAAATTTCAATAGAAATTAAGTATACAAAGTAATTTATTCCAAGAACATTAGACTGACCTTTTCTATTGTTATTGGCCTTGACTATTTCCATATGTTGTAGGAAAATATAATAAATTGGAAATTAAAGTATGAAATAATTTTCGGGTAATTTAGAATACTGATTAAAAATTCCGTGTTTTGATATTTAAATTCGTGTGACATTTATATTCATATCTATACTGAAAACTTTATCACTCAACGTTCCTGTCTTACAGTCTTTACTACTCAGAAACAAAAAGAAATCTAATATATGAAGCTTGTGTTATCTTTTCAGATTGTTATTTCCATCAAAATTTTAGATTTAGATTTAGGAGACCAGATTTTAGATTTTAATATTTTTATATTTCTAATATTTGATTTTATTAAATAAATATTTCAATCAATTGATGTATTTCATTTAAAATAATTCGCAATATTTATACTGAAACAACAAGAATAAAATTAAGGCGATTATTACAGTAGAAATTACATATTATTATTAAAATTTCCATTATGCAGACATTAGGTTATACGAATAATATATCTCGCGTGAAATGGGCATTATACGTCAGAACGCTTTTGTGCATAAAAGCACTGGAGAGGAAACGTATGATGCTGACAGTTAAAACGGAACGAGAGATACTTCAGAAGCTAAAAAACCGGTAAAAGTACCATTAAAGTTGCAAAAGTGCTGAACGTTGAAGGCATTTCCACTTCATTCTAAGTATTTATGGTATTGGAAAAAGGAACATTTAAACAGTCGAAAGACCCAAAATATCTAATAAAATACAAATTACGTGTCAAGAAAATCAAGGCAATTTAGTAGAAAGAAAAACATGAGCTTTAAAAATAATTTTAAAAATGTTATATATATTCTACTAAATATAATATTAATTCCAGAATCAAAAATTAATTCAAATATTAGAGGATTTACTATATATCTTTTATTATAATAAAAAACAATCTCTTATAATTTATTCTTTGTTTTTATCAGTAATATTACTCTTTCAAAAATGTAAAATAATTACATGTAAAGAAATACATATTTTTCTTTTCGAAAATTCCCACATTAATTCGAATTTTCAACATATCATAGTATAACTATTTCAATAATACTTACCACACTTCAATTTTAAATTAAAGCAAAATTCTTCTGCGATTTATCTTTTACTCTTGTCAATTCAAAATATAGTATTGTAGAATTACGCACATGGTTATGAAACATGACTACTTCTCTAGTTAAATTATGGTTAAAAGAATCTCCCATTAACCCCTTGCACTATGATAATCACGAGAAACTATACATTTGTTAGTTACTTCATTTTAATTAACCATTATATAATTACCTTATTCGTAATAAAATTATACAAATTTTACACGTGTTAAAATACAATATTGCTCTAACGCGAGAGTAATTCATCTCTATGAGGATTAGAATAAAGAAACACTCACGAGTTAGACTCATAATTGCAATACAAATAATTAATTCAAATATTCGATACTTCACCCTATTACCCCTGACAAAATTTTTTCTGCAAACACGATAATACAAAATTACCTAAAATTAATTGTTCATAAGTAGAATGATATAAAATTAGCATAAAACGGAATAAAAACAAAAAGGAAAAAAAAATCTGAATCTCTTTATTATCACGAAGAAAATACTCGAGTTGGGCCGAAAAATTTTTGCCATTGATAGTATTGGTACTTTTGATAGATTCTCGCATTTTCTCGGAAAATGCGAAAAATATCCGCGAAGCAGATGGATTTGCAGGAAAACGTGTTCGCAGAAGCGATGGACGAGCGTAATGAAAAATTCAGCCGAGCGCACATCACGGAGTTATAGATCCGTGTGGTGGCAGGCCTGCGGATGGTTTTTGCGCGGGAAAGGTATTTTCGTTCGGCGGATCCGCTTTGTTGGTCCGCGTGTTAAAATATCTTTGCAGGTTAGAAAGTGTTTGCGGTCGGTGGATATTTTAGGACATGAAAACGTTTCCACGGTGAGGTGAGGTCAACGAAGTCGCGCCATAAAGGAGGGAACTACGAGTGATAAAAAGCTCGTAATGCATCTTAAGTGCGGGAATTTCTGATACGATAATAAACAGCCGACACGAAATTCACAGAACGACAAGCGTTCCCCGTTGTGTACCG